CTTTATATCCGTTGTTGTGGAAGCTGTCTGATTTTCGATATGCAACGGGAGGAGGATTGATAAGAAAAGGGATGAGACCAAATGAATTAGTCCAGCATTTTTCTTTCCAGTTTAATACTGTATTAAAGATTTTCAGCAGGTAGTTTTCAACTCATGTTTCTGTCATCTTGCTTTAGCTGGTTATCCAGCATTCACTGCTTGCACACTAATTTCATTGCTGCATCTTATTTGTTATTGTTTTTCATTTATACCATCCATGTTCTTTCTTTTCTTGCAGATTGTGATATCTTTAGTCTGAACTTTTTAACTGGAATCAGAACTGGATGTTGGGGTCACTTTCTTTTATTGTACAATTCGATGACATTAAACTGCCCTAAAAATCCAGACCATTTGTCTAAAAAGTAAATGTTGTTGGGTTTTTGGTTTTTGTTACCAGCAGTCATGCTGGTAGACATAACTGTATTAACAAAAAAATTGTCCCGTTCCTCGAATACTGTATTGAGAAAAATGAAAAATTCATCTTGGAAACCATGTATTTTATTGTTTTATTTTCAGTCACTAATAAAACTGTGAATGTCAAAGAGGAGTTTTGCTGAACTCTGATTAGCAAAAATGTGATTTTTACCATGCCTGTTCAGTTTTTTCTATTAAGTTAATCCAAAGGCTTCTTGAATGAATTTAAGCAAAGTATACCTTATTATAAATATTCACAATTAAAAATGTCTTTTTGCTTTCCTTTTGATGGACTACTATTATGTAAATATGAGAGTAAAACTGATTTCAGGCATTTTGGAATATTCCAGTGACACACTGCATTTTACAAGTACTGAAATATTTGTATACGGTAGGAAAAAATGTGCTTAAAACTCAGAGAATTATTTTAAGTGTTCTTTTTTCTGAAGGGGAAAAAAATAAATGGAAGCAGCATGGTGGTAATTCCCTCATTGTGACTTACCCTTGGCAACACCTTGCGGCAACTGTGTTCTCCAAAACGAAGGGTGCTTAATTCTTCACTTTCTTCTGTATTCTGCAGGTCCCATAACAACAAACTGCAGTCTACAGCTTCTTAGAGTTCAGCGTGTTAACCTAACACACGAGCAAGAATCTGGTTGTCTGAAAATTTTTAATTAAGAAGCCAGATGTTTTTAGTCAGGTTATCCTGACGAGACTTGATGTAAACTGCGTTTTTATTGGTCACAACAGTCAAATTATATTCTTGGCTTATTTTGTCCAAAGGACAAAGAAATAAAAATCAGCAGCACCACTTTCTTGTCAAGATCAAATTGTTGTACTATTGTGGCAGAAGCAGGAAAACTTTGTTTTGTTGAAGGAGAGAGAGAAAGAGAGCAAGAAAAAAAGATACAGTAAATGGGGTCGCGTTTAACTCCATGGAAATGCCACGTCTGTTCTTCAGTGAAGAAGCTGGTTTAAAGTCCACACAGAAAACTTTGACTGTATTTATTTATTGTTGCAAAAAAGACGCTTTTTTATTGCTGCCCTCATTTGTCAGCTAATTATTTTTTCTTATAAAATCCAGCCCCGGTTACATGTAATCCATTCTGTATCTTAACATGATTCCTGTAGGTAAGAGTACAAGAAGACCTCTAGATGTCTTTTCTTTCTATGAAAGGAGCTGCTATGTACACATGTGCACACACACAGAACTGGGAATCAACAATGAGTTTATCATTCATGGTAGATAAAAACAATTAAGCTTGCATAAAAGTTGGGCTAAGTGGTCATGGACTACAGACTCTGTTGCCTTGAATATAACAGTACAATTTGTCATTTACTCTGCACCAGACTGAAATGAGTAAAATCTATTTGAAGGTATCTTGTTTGTAAACATTTGTCAGATTCTAATTTTTTTCTTTTGTATTAAAATTCAAAATATGGATGTATATGAAACAAAATAAATGGAGATAATTGTTCTCCCCACAGATGTAGGTGTCTTTGCGTGTGCGCTAATATGTTTGTAACACTTTGGGGATCTGTTCAGATATTTCAAGTATTGGGGGAGGGAAGTGGCCAGGGAGATCTACTTTATTTTGCTCCAAAGGTAGCGTTTGCCACGTGTCATTCTTAAGCAGCTGTTGTCCCTTTATAAAATTTCTACCGTGGTGCCAGAAGTACTGTAACAGATAAGATGGTAGGAAGTCTTTTGTGAAATGTCACTGCCCACCGCTGAATTGAGCGATATTTCGCCAAGCACCCTAGGAATGTAAAGTACCAAGCGTAATTACATCTGTGAAAGGCGTTCTGGACTGCTCCATTGTTTCCTGTATGAGGAGTGCCACTATGAGGGATCAGTTGGAGTCTCAAGAAGATGCAGATTGCAGATGGCGTTGCCGTTTCTTTCCGATCTGTCACTTTCACATTGCGTGTACAGATGACTTGCTGACATTACCTGTCTGTAGTTCATCAGCCGCGGCTTGCATGCGGCTCTTCAACCATTTGACTAGCTTTTGCACTAATTCACAGTTAACTTCTGTTGTACAGTGATCTGGGATTTACCTGATTTATGGATAAGCTCCTTTTGGGTTTAACCTCACACCTTGCTATGCAAGAACCTCTTCTGTTATTTTTCTTAAAAAGATGTTGCTACTGACCACACTTTCTTACACTTACAGGCTCAGGTGTACAGGTTCTTCTGGGATAATTTTATCTAATAAAAACCCGTGGTTTTTTGTACATACAAATGTTGTCATTTAGCCTATATGTGAAAATTAAAAATAATTGTTCAATGTGAAGAAAATAATCCATTTATGCTTCTTAAAAGTTAAAGAAGAGTAGTTGCATTTAGGTTATGTTGTCCTTTTGACGTTTAAAAAAATGCTGCATATTGTACGCATTGTGTTTTTAATGCAAAAAGGAAACATCTCAACTTTTAACAGCGTTTGAACATACCCTGCATCTCATCGAAACTTCACAGTATTTCTGTACTATTTATTCATATATAAATATATATATATGACCTCATTTAAAACTTTCCTACCTGTAGGCAATAGATTGCTGTTTTTAACAAATTGTGGCAAACTGAAGAGTACTTTTTTGTACCTTATAGGACACATCATCCTAGACAAATAAAGTAATGTGTTTGACATTGATTTGGTGGTGTTTCTAATGAAACAATTGATAATGTTACCGTGTGTAGGTCTTGGCTTTGCCAGATTATATATAATTGCCAGTGAATCAGGTTGATGAGGGAAATAATCCATACGTGCAATTTAATCTTGCTGAGAGCCTTTTTTAGTGTTTTCAATTGTCGTTGAGTAGGTTGAGGTTCTCTCGCTTTACTTGTGGTGATCTTTTATAGTTAAACGGTGTTACTCAAAATACACCACTCGTAATTAATACCCACCTTCCTTAAAAGCATGGTAAGTTCCTAAGATTTGTGAACTCCGTTCAGTCCTCCTCCTCTTTGTATTTTTATAAATCACTGCAGTGTGTGTTTCAAAATGGTCCTATGTTGTAGCACGGATTTTGATAATGTGAGCTCTACCCGCCTGATTTTTCTTTTTGTCTCCTCAAAGAAATTTGAAGCAATTGTCCTTGCTCTAGATTTAGTTCATGCAGAAGTTAACAGGGATTTAAAGTAGAATAAAAAGTTGGGCTTACCCAAAAGCCTTGGGTAAACCCCTGGAAAGACAG